CTTTCCAGCACTTGTATATACAAAGTGTACATAAATTAGCTTCTTAAGATGAGCTCCGGGGGCAGAGGCAGCCGGGGCAACAAAGGTCCGAAGGCGGGTGGCGGTGACCGTAACACCACTGCTGCAACACAACAGCAACAGTCACAGCCAGTTCAGGAACAGAAACTGGACAGCCAGGCTATAGATAAAGACAAGGGTGGAGAAGCTGTGCCACACAAGATTGCACCCACAGCGGAACAGCTTCGAATTGCCCAGATGATTGACAGTATGCGAACAGAACCAGAAAAAAAGCTCCAGGAGAAAATGAATCAGGTTTGTACAGTACCAGTACTAGAGAGAGAGCATTTCATGGCTTATATTTTTGTCCAGTAAATGTAATGAAAAGTTATAATAAGTAAAAAAATAATTTGCATGTAAATCGTGTTTCAGGTGATGCAGTTCACAGGCGTAAATGCAGATGATGCCTTGGTGGCCCTCCACGACTGTGATAATGACGTGAATGCTGCCATTGACGCTCTGCTAGAAGGGGACGATCAAGGCAAGTGGCAAGAGTCAACCAAGAAGAAGAAAAAGCCTACACCAAGCAAGGTATGTTAATTGTGTAATACCAAACATAGCTTAATTGGTATATTTAGTTGAGTATGGATTGACATGGTAGCTTGCCAAAATGAAGGAGATATTGTAGTTAATTTGAGTTGCCTCCAGCACATGGTGAAGTTCTAGTTACCATGTTCATTTATAATTAGAAATAGGCAGAGCTGATCATTGGATGAAGGAGACAAGGGAATGTACGAATGGATGTATTGGAGAGGGTCATATATGCTAGACACAGCAAGAATTCTTAATCTGTGCTCATGTATTCATTCATAAGTGGTGGAAACAAAACCATCATCCACTTGTATGATCACCCCAGGAGGAAAAAGGAGCAAAAAAGGGTTAAGTAATGGGGTTGATTTGGTGCGGATGGAGTTGGAAGAAACATGCTAAATAGTACCTGAATTACTTCCTCATACTCCCTACTTTCCATTGACAGTGAATTTAAAGTGTGAAAAAGCACATATTTCTGAAAGGCTTTGCTCTATTGTGGCTAGTCAGATTTTTGGTTTAATCACTAAGCTTCAAAAACTGATGCCAGGATGATATGCACATAAATGCCATGAGCACTGTGAGTTTGATTTATTCATTTAACTCGCACATAGATGGCTCCACAAGAGCTTAGTCACAAGCAATAAGTTACTAGCCTTGCATGATTTTTACCTTTACCATCTCTCTCTCTCTCTCTCTCTCTCTCTCTCTCTCTCTCTCTCTCTCTCTCTCTCTCTCTCTCTCTCTCTCTCTCTCTCTCTCTCTCTCTCTCTCTCTCTCTCTCTCTCTTTCATTTATTTAGATTACATTTTTTGTAACAGCCAACGGAGACAGAAAGCAACAAGGAAAATCGGCGTGTCGACTCCCGAGAGCGCAGCGGATCTCGGCCAAGGGGAGGTGGACCACCCAGGTTTAGAGGGCGAGGTGGAGGCAGTGGCCGTGGTGGCCGTGACAGGTAGGATTTTTTTTATTTTTTTATTTATTTTCATTTATTTATTTATTTTTTTATTTGTTGTTGCAGGCAGGATGTATGACGATGTCTAATTAGATTAAATTTTGTTTATTGTACAGAAGGGTAGCATACTATTAATAGGAAAAGCAGATAGTTTAACCTATTAATACTTGGTTTATGCATTGTCCAATTGGTTTTGTTTTATAGATTTTATTATACAAAATTTGATAATGGCCCTTCATCATTAAATTCATCAAGGAAACAAGTTTTCCCCATCCCTTGATATTTTCTTAGTTCTTGTAATTAACGATTTTAATGATAGTATCATTACTATTGTCAATGTTTTAAACCTTTTGCTTCATGATGCCATGTATGTCATACCATGCCAATAATGGCTATCTTGCTAAGGATACACAAGTCATACCACCATTATCTTGATCAGATATCTTGTTCTGGATTCGTGCCCAAACCAAGCATTTTCAAACGGCCTCCAGAGGAAGCTTGCTACAGTGTCATGATGTCACAAGTATAAATGAAAGGCCAATATGGCTGACAGAAATGAGGGGTATTATGATATTATGAATTACCAAGCTGTCGACGTATCTGTGCCAACCAGAAGCATCAACTGAGTTATATTGATAGCTATATTTTTCTATAGATGAATTCTTGCTACTTCTTATTGTATTATGGCCATCCTGGGAATGTATGAAGAGCATTTTTATTGGCCTTTTTTTATTTTCATTCTAAACTCTGTATGGAAGAAATCTCTAATAGCAGATGTGAACTGATGCCTTAAAATGTGTTGTTGATATTTTTCTAGTTATTCATATCTTTTTCTATATGATGTAATAGATAAGGTGTCTACCATGTGACTGGTGTCTAGATCTCATTGGGGAGTATTTGTGTGGGTGTGAGTTCCCACAGGTATGGCAATAAGTTGGATATGAAGTTGGAGATCAACAGGGGAGCTGGTGAGGCTCCCTGGTGGCTGCTGCTTATCTGTGGTGCTGTTGGATGATCTTGAGACGATGCTTGATCTTGTTCTGGATTCTGCAGCTTAAGTACACGGGAACTGTGTAAGGGAACAGGGAAGGAGGGGAGCCTGTGGTCCAATCAGAGGGCCATGAGGTGTCCGGGTGTGCCTGTCAGGTCTTGGCAATGAGTCGCGAGAAGCACCTGCTGGTGAGTGAGTGAGAAGTATAAAAGGTGATAAAGACCCTTCTATATGGTTTGTTTGAATTATTGGTTGCAGCTAGTGATACACTGATGTGGCTGTCCTCTTTATTGATTAAGAGTAACACGCACTTGTTATTACACGAGAATAACGATGTAAGAACAGGATATCTGGCAGTGTTGAGTAAAGAGTGGAGCAGCTATGATTAAAACTCTACGAGGTGGCTTGCGCCACGTGGTGTCCCCAAGCCACATGTAGTCTTCTATAGTCTTCTATAGTATACTATATCAAGACTGTGGACCTGGTGGACCCAACCTGGGCTTTGGCTCATGATTGCTACAGTACTCCCACTCTGGTGAGTGAGCAAAGTGTATGAGTGAAATACCAATGTCCGTATTACTCCATGGGTCACCAGAGTTGTAGATGAGGTGTCTACCACATGACTGGTGTCAATATCTCTTTGGGGAGTGTTTGTGTGGATGTGAGGTATGGCTGAGTGTTAGATATGAAGTTGGAGATCAGCGGCGGAGCCAGTCAGGCTCCACAGTGGCTGCTGCTTAGTTTTGGTACGGCTGGATGATCTTGAGATGATGCTTGATCTCATTCCGGATTCTGCAGCTTAAGCACTTGGGAACTGTGTAAGTGAACAGGGAACAAGGGGAGCCTGTGGTCGAATCAGAGAGGTATGAGATGTCCAGGTGAGTCACAAGAAGCGCCTGCCGGTGAGTGAGGACAAGGCTGTGAACCTGACGGACCCAACCTAGGCAACTATGCCGAGCTGTAGGTTGCAGGTCGTGGTTGCTACAATGATATGCAAAAGAGTTTTTGAAATTTTTATTTCCTTTATCTTCATTAAATACTAAATCTCATTCTTAGATTCACTATTATTACTAATATCATCCAGTTAGTTCCTTTAAACTATTACTCCTGTCATCCATTACGAATGAGAAAAAGTCTTTACATATTGCAATTGTTTATTTACTTTGAAAGCAAGTTGTATGTTAGGACTGTTTGTGACAAATTTTGCAAGAAGCAGCAAACCGAACAGTAACTGTTTCTCATCAGAAATGTGCCTTTGTGTCTGATCACTCGATGTAAATATTTAAACTCTCTCTCTCTCTCTCTCTCTCTCTCTCTCTCTCTCTCTCTCTCTCTCTCTCTCTCTCTCTCTCTCTCTCTCTCTCTCTCTCTCTCTCTCTCTCTTCATCTTCTTCTTCTTCTTCTTTTGCTTAAAACCATGTTATTACTTATGCAATGTCTTTTTAATGATGTTGCAATTTGTAAAGTGAAAAGTTTTGATTTTTGGTACTGGTGAAATCTTTATTTGTTTATTTTTCTGATAAGATTGAGATGGAAAATTTCCTTTCTTGAAATTTCAATCTTGGATATTGAAAATGATTAAAAAAAACAAAAAAAACAGTACAGCTCTTGGTAATAAATGAAGGATATCACTGAATTTTTTTTCATTGAATTTAGTAATTTGTTGTGATGCGAGTAAGCCAGACAAAATGGTGGGCAAAAGAAATAAATACAATTTTATTGTTGTTTAAGTTAGTTCATCAAATGAGACCAAACTTGATATGTAACATTTATAATGATACCAGTTAGGAAGAAAAGTAATAAATCTAGTTCCCATATTAAGGGTACCCCAGATTATGTGGTGACTGTCCTCTTTAAACATAACTTAATGCGTTTCAGTGAAAGCTGGGATGGCCCTGGCCGTGGTGAAGGGTCAAGGCGAGGCAGGATGACCAACGGAACTCCCATGGCAAGAGGACGAGGTGGACGCGGTCGAGGGAATTCCATGGGCCCACGTACATTCCAGAACAGACAGGCTCCTGGGTTCCCTGATTCCATAGACACCTGGGGACCTCTTACAGATGAAAAGCCCAATCATCAAAACAATCTCAAGATTGGTAAGTAGTGTCATGGAAAATACTAAATCAGTAATGCATGCACATACATGTCATCCACGGCACCATCGGGCTAATGCCATCCATAACTCAGCATGAGTGAATTAAAGGATTTGTGCATTTCTGGAACAATAATTGCTTAGTATATACATCAAATTTTTGCTCTCTCCATAGAATATTGAATGTGGACCATGTTCAGTTTTCTGAAAAGTTATAAATACTATTATTATTAGTGTAACATCTTTCAGACAATTGGGATGACGAACCAACTCCTGGTACAGATGATTGGGACAGTGAGTGGACGGGGTCATTAGATCAGACTACAGTGTTTGGACCTTCTGGTGGTACTAGTGCCACAACTGTGGCACCCCCATTGGCAGAGAACATGGCTGATCCAATGGCAGTGGGCAATCCAGCAGTAGCCCCAACTGCATGCTCAGCTGTGGGCTCTACTGTTGGGCAGTCTGTAAGCCCAGCTGTTTCTCTGGCACCCAGCCAAGCCTATACCCCAAACCCACCTCAAACCTATCAACCTCCACAGGTGTCCAACTACTCTACAGCCAGTGTCTCTACTTATTCCTCATCCACAGCCTCCACGGCTTCTATCACTCAACCCCAGACTATGGACTTGGCTGCCCTTCTTCAAAAGGCAGCCCCACAGTCTACCCTGACTGGTCTAGTTTCCTCTGCACAGTTAGGTGGGAATAGCAATACCAACAGTGGAGGTGGTGGTGGTGGAAGTAGGGGAGGTGGGGCCTCCCTTGTACCCCCAGCACCAGGACTGAGTGTTGGAGGCCAGCATGGGATATTAGGTGGGCTCAGCACCAATGTTGGTGAATCTTTGAAGGCTGGAGGTCTTGTGGGAACAGTGGGCGTGTCAGTCACTTCTCCATCACCGGCATCCTCAACACCGGCACCATATGCCACACCAACAGCCCAGCTTCAAGCAGCCATCTTCTCAAGCTCTGGTACAAAACTTTTTTCTTGTTTCTTTTCCTTTTTTATCCTTTTCTTTGGTAAAGATGAAATAATATTTAAAGGCATCATCATTATTTTCATTATCATCATGGATTAATTATTATAATTTTTGATTTATTTAATTTTGTAACTTTTTATTTATTCATTTTTTTAGTCCCTGCTTGCATTCCTCTTCAAAATAATCTTAAATTAATGTTATGTATATAATGTATTAATTTGTCTCGTTTATTAATGTAAAGAGAAATGGTAAAGTTTATCAACCAATTTCATTAACAGGTCTGCACAGTGGGGTTACAAGCAGCCTAGCAAGCAGCATAAGCAACAACAGCAATGTAATTAATAAAGCAGTTAGTCTGTCTTCTGTTAGTGCCAGCTTACCTTCTCGTCCGAAGACGCAGAGACCCCGAATACCACAGGCTTCAAAGGTATTGCTTGTAAATGTCTTTAAGAAGGATGTTGAGTGTAGAAAGTAAATATTGATCAATCGTAGTTAGTAAAAAGTATCATATCATTTGTTTAAAAAAAAATTAATTTAAGAAATGGGAGAATTAACTGTTGACTGGATTTTTTAAGGAATAACATTTGAATAACAGAGAAATTTTGAAATACAAGGGCAGACTAAAGGTGTATCACTTGAAGGAAACAATATGAATTGTCCTGAAATGGTAACTAAAAAGCAAAATTTTATCAAGATGTTTTCTTCATCTCTTAGATACCCCTCTCTGCAGTTGAGATGCCTGAAGATGCCATGGCTGCATTGGATGTACAATTCAGTGGATTAGAATTTGGTACAGAGACCTTTGACTTTACTGCAGATGTAAAGACAAGCTCAAGCAGTACTGGCCTTGTTAGTACTACGCCTGTTAATGCCCTAGACCCATCTGCCTCCACTCCTGTCTCCAAGGATCTCACATCTGCTCCTCTCTCATCATCTCTGGCACAGACGCAAAAGGTAAGGAGTGTGTAGTGTGTTCTGTAGATTCTCAATGTCTACAAGAGATAAGCACTACCATGCATTTTCCTTGTAGACATCCTTTAGCTGCATGGGATTATTAGACTCCAGTATTGGTTAAAGAACAATTGAAAAGATTGTAGGTATGTCAATAACCTGCTGCTAGGACTTAATATACTAACCAGAGAACCATTCAGCTGCTGTCTTCAGCCAGGCTCAGATCTACCAGAAATATTGCTCAAAACATCCCTCTATCAGCTGGCCAGGTATGACATCTTGTCCAGATGATAATTTTTTTCTTGTAACTTATATTTGTTGCGTGGCTTGTCTAAACCTAAACTGTTGATTATATAGCTTTAAGTAACATAGCATGTGATTGTAAGTAGCAAGTCACGGGGCAGCCTGAGCGTTTTGCCTAACAACTTAGTGGTGCCCACTCTTGCAGCTTGGACCTGAGCCCATTCCATTCCCCTCCTCTCAAACAAGTGAGCGCAAACCCTCTGGAGGGGCCTTCGTGCCTGGGAACCAACGTAGCAGTGTCAGCAACAGTGCAGCACCTCAGGGCCTGTCAGACCTTACCAAGAATGAGACTGGTGGTAGTACGGGTGGTTTAGGGAGCCTGGTTGGGTCTGCTGGCCCAACATACCAGTCCTACACCAGCTCCAAGTCCTCCACCTCCTTCCCTTCCCCACCCTCTGCCCCATACTCACAGCCACCCTCACAGGTAACATTCTCCATTCCCTGCTGCTGCCATGCTCACATCTGTTTTATTAATTTGAAACCTGCTTGCAATTTCAGTATTGTATACATGCACCAGAGAAAATTTTCTAGTTTATGCAATATTACTTATGTTAGGGATGGGCTCCATAGTTCTCAGTGTATAGTATGTTTTTCATGTTTCCTGCATCTGCCAATATGAGCTATTATCTCCTTTTTTCCTCTTCTT